TATGAACTAAAAGACTTATTAATCTGGGTAAAAGCAAATACTCAAAATACAGACTTGAAGCCTCCTTTTACCTTTGACCAGATAAACTGGAAGTTTTAAAATCTAGTCTCTCTCAGAAAGGAAAAGAATTTGGTCCAACTAATGCCTTTCTCCAGAGCTTTAATGCAGAGCTTTGAACAGAATGATTGTAACAGAGACTTTCTCGAACAACAAAACAGACCACCTGGTTCTGAGACTTTAATGCTGAGGGGTGCTGGGCTTTTGTCCTCCTCTGGGGAAATCTCGGGTTTGGTTTGGGGTTCCTTCCCTTCTCCTGGCATGTCCAGGGTTTCCCCAGGTGATGTGGACAGCACCCTGAAGCCCAGGAACGGAGAATGAGATCATCTTCCAGCTTTGTTTTTTCCGGGATTCCCTATGTCACTGGTGCTTAGACAGGCTGTCCTCCCATTCCTCCATGAAATCATCCACCCCCAGAATTCCCTGAAAGCATTTGGAATTTTTGTTGCCTTCTTAGAATTTGGGGGGTCAGAGGTCATGTTCTGGGGAGGCTGGGAATTGAACGGGTCCCTGAGATGAGAATTTGGGGAAGCTTTATAAAACAGGGGCTGCTGTTTCTGTGCCCTGCTCCTCTTCCAAACAAGATGCGGCCGAATCTTGTTCTGAAGTTGTGCCAAGGTCGGGTCTGGATCCGCTCTGCCTGGCCGAGGGGCTGCAGGGTCAGCCCTGCCACCGTTTCCCCATCCCGGGAAGTCACCCCCTCAAATCGGGCTCAGGCAGGCAGTTTGCTTTCTGGATCTGAGGAATCTTTTCATAGAGATTCATCTGCCAAGCCTCCTCCGAGATTTTCACCACTTTTGGTTCCCAAGCCTCAGATTACAGCAGGTGGGAGGGCTTTGGATTTGGGTCTGCCTGCAGGGGAGCAGGCAGGGAGGAGGACAGAGGTGATGGGTGGCAGCCAGGGCTTAAGCAGGGGAGGGATGGCTCTGCCCAGAGAGGTGGACGGGGTGGAGGTGGGAGAGCTCAGGAAAGCTGCTGTGGAGACACAGACAGTTCATTCAGAAGCCTTGAAGCCTGTCTCATTCTCTGCTGAGGAGGGAAAAGCATGCTGAGATTGCAGCTTGGACCTGAGAGTTTTCCAGCTGTATCCCTGCCGGCAGGGATGCAGTGTGGTACCTGTCACAGTCCATTGGAAAGCCTCACAAATACAAATTCCGGATCTGCAGCTGGAGAGCAGCCCGATTTGTATGAATCTAAAAAGATCCAATTTAGTGAATCCAGACGTGAGTTAGCAGGCTCTGGCTTTCTTCCTGTCACCAAGAACTTGGAGCTCTCCTCCCCAGCCCTTCCTGGCATGGCTCCTGAGAATATTTGTTGCTGCGGTGACAACCCTACTGCCAAGAACTTGGAGCTTCTTGGCAGGGTTCCTAGGACAGCTGATTGCTGTGACAACATTACCTGTTCTTCTGGATCAGATACAGGAGTGATGAAAGGGAAAAACAAAACACAGTCTAAATCAGTGGTAAACCTTCCATTGCAACTACCTAATTGGTCTAATATTATTCAAAATATAGAAAAAATTGGATTCAAATAAACAACTCCTCGCCATTCTGGTTAGAAATGGTTGTAATGATGTAAATCCACAATACAAAACTCTTTCTCACCATGAGATCAAAGAATTTATAAGAAAAATGTAAAAAAATATTATAACTTTACGAGATCAGCCTCCAACCGTAACACAGATGCTAAGAGCCTACAGTATGCTCACCTCTACATAGAATATTGCAAAAAGGCAAGTCAATGCTTTTGGAAAGCAGATTGCAGATTCTCAAGACAAGACAAAAAAAATACAATGGCAGAAAAATTGGGACAAAGAAATGGAAAAGCTTGAAAAGGCCCTTGAAGCACAAACAAACATTTCCAAAAAAATCTGTTGGTACTGTACAGCTGGACTCAGATAACAAAGCTTGTGGCTTTACTTGTGGTAAAGCAGGACACATGAAAAGGGACTGTCCTAGTACAATAATCCAGCCTAAGCCACATTCTATTTGCCCTCGATGTGGGAAAGGAAGCCTCTTGCTAAGTACTGTCGTTCTCAATTTGACATTGATGGCAAAGCTTTGTCGTTAAACTCAAAAAAGAGGGCGGATTACCACCGCACCTCAACACAAGTAGTGACCTCCTTACAGTCAATTACCCAGTCAAATGGCATTGGTACCTCAGTCATTTATTCCTGTCATCCATCCCTCAAATGGTCCCAGGTCAATACCCTCACGTACAAGGTTTGAATTGGCCTCCTCAAAAATGGATACACATTTTAAACACTTTCTGTTATGAAAGTATTTCTACTGGAATTATCAGGTGTTTTCAGCAAAGACAAGAGCTTCTGATTCTAGGCAGAGCTAGCAACAAAATTTTCAGACTTTCAGTTCTTCCAGCTGCTGTTTCAATAATTTGTAACAAAGAGCTAATATATTTATCTCCTGCATTTAATGTTCCTATAGTGACTCCACCAAAAACACCTCTAGCTATTGCATTTCTTCTACCCATGAGTACAGCCAAGCAAAACAACTTTCCAGAGAATTCAATGCTGTCCGTGCCATTTGGAACCTCAGGTCCTGAGGTCTTTTGGGTTCAATGTTTCGACCGCAACCAGGAAACATTGACTTGCTGCCTGACTCACTGTGGTAAAACAGTTTACATTGCAGGCATGGCAGATACTGGTGCTAATGTCACTGTAATCTCTGACATGTTTTGGCCCAATGATTGGGATTTAGTAGCTCCTGCAGGTTCCCTCACAGGGATTGGAGGTGCTGCTCTATGTTGGCAAAGTGCACCCATGATTAACATTACAGGTCCTGAAGGAAAGGCAGCAACGGTGCGTCCTTTTGTTGTTCAGAAGCTTCTCACCATCTAGGGGAGAGACGTCCTGTCTCAATGGGGAGCAGAGCTGGAGGTGGGCCTCTGATGGAAACCACATCAAAACCTGCCACTTCAAAGCTGAACTGGAAAATTGATCTTCCTATGTGGATTGATCAATGGCATTTAACAGAGAAAATATTAAATAGCTTTAAAAGATTGGTAAAGGAGCAATTAGAAGAAAGTCACATCACTCCCATACATACTCCCTGGAATTCACCAGTATTTTTCATCCACAAGAAGACATTGGACTCCTGGAGGTTGTTTCACAACCTGAAGATCAGTGAAATGATTGAAGACATGGGACCACTTCAGCCTGGACTTCCTTCTTTATCAATGATCCCAAAGCACTGGCCTCTCATTGTCATTGATTTAAAGCTTTGTTTTTTCCACATCCCTCTACATTCCAATGATGCACCAAGATTTGCTTTTCTCAGTTCCTGTCATCAATCAAAGAGAACCCATGCAGAGGTAGCACTGGAAATTATTGCCTCTAAAAATGAAGAATTCGCCTCTAATTTGCCAATATATTACAGCACAAGTTTTGTCTCCAGTTCGACTGAAGTATCCAAGATCCATGATTTCACACTGCATGGATGATTTGCTCATCGCAGCTCCAACAAAGCCACAGATGGAGCAAGCTTGTCCTAGCGTTGTTACTGAAATCCAGAATGCTGGACCTAAAATTTCTACAACAAAAATTAAGAAGTTTTTAGTTTAGAGATTAGAAAGGTCAATTTTAAAGGATGTTAGTAATGACACTTTATACTGTTGGCTTTCATGTCTTTATACAACTTTGCAATATAGAACTCATCCATATTTTGTTTCTCAAATCAGGGCTAATTCTTTGCTTCCTGGATTTTTAGTGGAAGGAAACGCAAGAGCGGACAAACTGACAATGGTTATTTCAAACACTTTACCAAGCATTTTGGAACAAGCAAAACTGAGTCACGCCTTTTTTCACCAAAACTTGCAAACACTTGTGCGCATGTTCCAAATTTCCAAAAGTCAAGCTAAATCTATCATTAGTACTTGCCCTGACTGTCAGCTTGTGCAGCCTCCTGTTTCTGCAGGAGCGGTCAATGCACGGGGTTTGCAAAGCCTGCAGTTATGGAAAACAGATATCATTAAATAGCCTTCCTTGGGTAAATTTAATAATAGTCATATTTCAGTGGACACGTTCTCTGGTGCAGTTTTTGCTTTTCTTCACGCAAGGGAAGCAGGTAATCATTTTAGCGTTCAAAAACACATAATCACGAAGCAATTATATGCAATGCTTTTTATTTAGGAGCTCTGGAAATCAGAGTATTACCCAAATCTGATTCCGACCATACATCTGAGATGATCATATTTTTATACTCTATCGTTATGTAACTTTCATGTTAATTATTAAACTTCTATTTTTCTATTGTATGCATAGATTTCAGCTAAACATAGCCCCCCTTTGAATTTCCAACATAGTTTCTCTTTATTCTTCTTACGTTGATATAATAATTATATTTAATTACTAAATATCACATCTAACAATTATATCATTTATCATACTGCTTACGCAGGTGCAGTTGATCTGGGAAAACACAAAGCTTAACATTTTATATGCTATCTTTACGTTTTTCCAGGGCTCCACTATCAATCATGCCTGTCAACATTCTTTGCAAGCTTTTGCTTCATTGGGTGTGCCCCAAGAAGTAAAAACCGACAATGATCCTGCATATGTATCTCAAAAATTGGCCACAGTTTTAAAGATTTGGGGTGTTTGTCACATCCTTGGTGTTTCTCCTTCTCCCACAAGTCAAGCAATTGTTGAGAGGACACATCAGACATTAAAACGCATTTTTCATTGACAGAAGGGGGGGAAGTGGTCACACCACAGATGAGGTGGAACAAAGCTTTTTATGTTTCTAATTTCTTAAACAGCTCTGGGTCAGAACCTAATACACCAATTTTAAGGCATTTTTCAAATAACACACAGGCAAAACTGAAAGAAAATCCTCCTGTTTCAATTAGATCTCCTGAGACTGGACCGATTGAAGGTCATTTCCGATTAATCACCTGGGGTAAAGGGTATGCTTCTGTCTCTACAGGTGCAGGAATTAAGTGTGTCCCAGCCAAAAACGTCAAACCATATTGCACCCCAGAACGTGTTGACGAGTCCAAAACTGAAGAAGCAAGTACACAGACGTGAACGAAACAGAGGGATCATGGGTCACACCTGATGTTCCCTCTTTATCAGTGGGACCTGCAAACTCTGATTTTATGCTAGTTATAAATGTGTCAGGTGTTGGTTTCATTGTTGTTAGTCTGGTGAAATTGACAATTGAGCAATCCTGTATTGCATGGGAACATTTGGGCCAAAGAACACCCCAAAGCAGTATCTGAGCCCCAAGACTTAGAAATCCTTGGTCCTTTAACAATGGATTTCTGCCTTGCATTTACAGCTAATGATTGGTGAGAAGATGATCCTCCAAAGTACAATGTTACTCCCCATTATTTTGCATACAGAATCTTTGTTAGTGATTTAATAGATGACTTACCTTTTAAAACGTGTCTTGGTTTGAAAAGACAGATGTCTGCTAAGGAAGGCAGGAGCCTCCCCTGAAATGGCAAATGTAAACCTTCTCCCTTTGAATTGTTATCATTTTGAAATTAAGGGGGCCTCTCAGGCAAAGATATGGAGCAGGAATAATAGTTCTTTATTAGAGAAGAAAATAAAAGTAAAATAAACAATTCAGTACAAAACAACACTGACAGAGTCAGAACACCACATGACACCTGTCGGTGATGGAGAGAGATGGGGAAGACTGCCTTGGTGATCAGAATCCAATTTTATTGTGGGATACAAGCACTTATATAATATTTCAGGGAGACTAGTAATGAGTACTACAATGATTGGGTTAAAATCACATACACAAAGTTATGCATATAACAAGATCTCTTGCTACAGAGTTTAGTGGGATTTTCTTTTTCTGATAAACCCGTTTGATTTCATCTTCTTGCAATCTAGGTCTAATTTTCAAAGTTCCGTTTGCTTTTGCCAGGGCATCCTGTTCTCAAATCTCTGATGTTAACCACGTCCAAAGTCCATCATTTGTCTTGTGTCCTCCAAGATCCCAACAGACACCCTGTTGGTCAGGGGGTTGGTAGCAATCCAATTGAAATGGTGGCTGCCATCCTCCTGGAGAGGCAGATGTGGTTCTGTTGAAGCAGTGATGCTATAGAAGGGTGTTGTCTTCCTCTGAAGGTCCAGTGGTGGTGTAGATGAGCCTGGTCTTCCTCTGGGAATCCAGTGGAAAAGGCAGCTGCTTCTCTGGGAATCCAGTGGAAAAGGCTTTCCTGGTGTCCCAAAATCTCAGCTTCTATCCAGTTAGGAATGTTTGGCTCCTCCCTCTGGGCAGAGCTTCTCACAATGTGGGATGATGTAATTTTATCAGTCATGCTGGGGCACTCAATGGCACATTAAGAGCAGATGTCTCCCCGGAGGGAGGACTGGTTTCTGGAAGAGATGAAGAAAACTGCTCAATTAACAGAAGATAACAGAGCCACACCTCTAACAGATGACAAATAGAATACAGACATTACCTTGCAACCTAGGACAAAATGATGATAGACATTACCTTGCAACCTAGGACAAAATGATGACAAGTGGCAGAACTTCAGTTAAAGAACTTTGCAACTGAAATTTGGCTATGATAAACTGATTTTTTTTAATGAGTATCTTACTGGATATCCCTTGGATCTTAACCATTCTTCTTGAAACAAGTCAATAATGATGAGGAGGACTATTAGAAAAACACTTCTTAATAAACACACTAAGGCTTCCTAAGGCACAGCAGTAATTGCCTGAGACAGAAATATAACATTTTCCTTTCTCCTAATCATAGACTTATTGATTTTGATCCTAAGAATTGCAAACACCCATAATGAGTATTGTACTATGAACTCTAAGGCATATTTTACAAACAGTTGTACATTTTTCTAACTTTTGTAGGATAATCCTTCAGTGTGTTTATTAGAGTTTTTGGAACATGATAAACTTGATTTTTCAGGAGCTAAGGTGGTTGTGAGGTTTTGAAAAGGTTTGTAGGGAAATGTTGGCTTTCTCCTGCACTTGGTGAGAGAGTGGCTCTCTCTCAGCTGCTGTGAAATGGCTGTGGCATGTGACCAGCACCGTCTTCTCAGGATGGCTTGGTTGCTATTGCTGGCATGGCCCCACACACTTGCACGCTTCTTTACACTGTTTTTTGCTGGTTGGGTCCCCTGCAGGGGCTTTTCCCACACTCTCATTCTGGGTTTGGTGTCTGCAGCTCTTCTCAGATCCATCCTTGGAGGAAGGCTCAGGGGCAGGGCCACTCCCGGTGCAGACATGGTGAGGCTCCACAGAGGTGTGACCTTGCAGCCAGCCCACTCCCTTTCCATGGTGATGGGAAGTGCGGGGGACCCAGTGCCAATGGTGGGGTCGATCTCAGGGGACATGTGGCACAGTGCAATGGCTGTGGAATTGCTCTTTAACCCAGAGGGCTTGGAGCGGCTGCATGGCGTGGTGTGCGCAGAGGGGCAGAAGTGCCCACCACGTGCTCTGCTCCCCCAGAGCAGGGCAGTGTGGTGTGCCCACCTGGGTCAGCTGCAGGAGCTTTGGTGGCTGTCATCTCTCCACCTGTCTGGATCGTACAATCGGCGCTGCCAGGTCTCTGGACAACGTTGGTGTCCTCAGCTCGGGCAGCCCCCGGATGGTGTCCGTTTTCCAGGACTCCCCCACTCCCCAGGGCTGTGCTGCTTCCCACGACCACTCTGCATTGGTCAGCCACAGTTCTATTGTAGTGGGACACGTTTTCACAGTGGCCGGGTCCCGCTGACTCCTGTGGCAATGCCGCTCACACCCAGGGTGGAACGAAGAGGCGGCTGCGCTGCTGTCCTTCCCCCTGTGCCCTTCATAATCCATTTTTATAATAAGTTCAGAAGAAGCATCCATGGTTTTATAATACCAATGGCTGCATCATCACCAAATGAGACTGCCTCAAATATATTCTGTCCAACCCTCTCCTAAAAGGGGAAATCTAAAATGTCCCCTTCTGATATGTACAGCTCATGGTTTTTGCACCACATGAATAAAGCTTGTAGAGCTCATTCATTGTGGTTTATCCCTCTTCTCTGGAAGAAGAAAATCAGTACCTTCATTATGGAGTTTTCTGGTCCTGACATCCAAGCTCCCATGGTCTCCTAAGTGGTTCCAGTCCACATAAACAAGGCTAGCAACCTCACTGCACTTTACGCTACTTAGCAAAGTCCTGGGTTTTCACCATATTGGCTCTTTTACCGTTTCCAGCTCCCAGGCTGTATTTCTCCAGTTCCAAACACCAATCCAGGGTCTGATGCCCTTGTAATCTGGTTCCCACACTGTTTCCCAGCTCTCAAGCTGCTTGTAATCCAGTTCTACACCATTTTCCAGCTCTAACGCTGTGTGTCTCCTTTGCTCTGTGCTTCTGAGTTCTTATCACTTTGGGGTTCACCACGTGTTAGGTCAGGTGTGGGGGTTGCTGGTGCAGGAGACAGAGATTGCTCAGCCCTGATGTTCATGCGGCACAGAGAGTGTTTATTTCCCTGGCTACTCCTAATGCAGAGCATTTGAAAGACCCGGTCTGCATATTCTCATTGGTCTGAACTCCACGCCCCCTCAGGATCTGGCCAGTGAAATGCTTGCAGCTTCCTAAGAGACCTGACTGGGAGAAGCCCCTGGCAGTCAATCCTGGGGCTTGGTAGCAAGCTCATCCATGACATTCGGTAACACCAACCAATGGGTGCCTTCTTTCTGCTCAGTTCTGTTAGGTCTCAGTTTGGGTTCAGTTATGTCAGGTTGAGATTAAAGGCATAAAAAGGGTGTGATTTTTACAGTAAAATGATCTCCTTTGGATGCATGAGGGGATCCCTGTCGCTTTGTTCCCCACTGCTGCATGCAAATCTGCCTTTTGGGAGTGCTAATTCAATAAATAGTCACTATACATAAACAAAGCTAGGGCTATAATTCTCAAAAAACTTAGAACTGTCTCAAGTTTTGTTTTGTTTGACAGAATACCTGAGGTATGGGGTTGTGGTGGTGTTCACAGAGGTCCCATGAAAAGAGAAGAGATGAGAATCTTGACTCCGTGCTTGACGCGATGCTAAATCAAAAGGCGTATTTATTATTTTATGATATATATATATTATAAAAATGATATATTAGAACTATACTAAAAGAATAGAAGAAAGGATTTAATCAGAAGGCTTGACAGGAAAGGAATGGAATGAATAACAAAAGACTCAGAGAGTCCAAGCCAGCTGACTGTGATTGGCCATTAATTAGAAACAACCACATGAGACCAATCTAAGATCCACCTGTTGCATTCCACAGCAGCAGATAATTATTGTTGACATTTTGTTCCTGAGGCCTCTTACCTTCTCAGGAGAAAAATCCTGGCCAAGGGACTTTTCAGAAAATATCATGGCTGCATGGGGTAGAGAGTTATATCTTACAGGCTGCCTTAAAAGAAGAGATACTGCAATCTCATGAAATCAGATCAACCAAAGCACTCCCAATCTATTAGTAAGAATTAACAAAGTCTGAACTTACATTTGCTATCTCCAACTTTGTACGTACATCCATCCATACAATACCACTGTGATTAACTACACTGACACACAGGTTTGCATAACTATTATTTTCTCAAATACGCTGGAGTATGGTAGGGCAAAAGAAAACATTGATTGCAGTGTCTAAAGACGCTGCATGTGGGTAAATATTCTCTTTGTATTCACAGCTTTAAATAATAATTTACCTTTATAAATAAAGGTATTAAAGGTACTATCAATAAAGGTATTAGAGGTTCCCATCAACTCCACAGATCTCAGAGAGGTATTTGAAGGCTAGGTCTGAAGAAAGAGAGGTATTTCATTAGAAGGTTTCAGTTGCAGAATTTTCTGCCTGAGTGTTTGCCACCTGTCACCTCTGTTTACAGTGTCTATAAAATCATTTTCATGCTGAAAATAACTAACAACTACCTTCCATATTTGTTTATGGTGAGTCACTCATGCCAACTCCTGCTGAAGTCAAGAGCAGATTTCTGAATATAGCAGGAATAGGATTAAACCTAAAAGGTCTACCAGTGCTATCACTGAAATACTAATTTGTGTGTTTTCTTATTTTTGAACCAAAATACAACCATGGCTTTTAATGTTGGGTTTT